CCCGCCCGAGGCTCCCCGCGGGGAACCGCCGCGAACGGGGGCAGGGCCGGCCCAACCCGCGGCGCCTTCGCTCCCCTGCGCGTCCGCGTTAACCGGCTTCTTAGGGGTCACTTCGGGGCGTGAGGCTGCAACGTGGGTGATTGAGGCTGTCCCTTTTGCAATGAAGCAAAACTTGCGACTCCTTATTATCAATCTGTCAGTATCACTTCATGAAAGCCACTTTTTTTTTTTTTTTTTTTTTTTTGTCTTTTTGAGACAGGGTGTCGCTGTGCAGTTCAGGCTGGCCTTGAGCCCACTTTGTAGCCCAGGATGGCCTCGAACCCACAACGATCCTCCTGCCTCAGCATCCCGAGTGCTGGGATGAGAGGTGTGCGCCACCACGCCCGGCAACAGTGACTTAATGCTTCAAAACCTAAAATGATAGCTAAGAGACGGGACTGGCAAGGAACACAACACAGTTTAGGGAAAAGGGCATCGTGTTTCACTTGTCACCCCATACAGGTGGAGGCACCCGCCTAAACCCAAGGATGTCTATAAAGTCCATCTCATTAAATGCTAGCTTACTTTTCAGTATTAAGAAAACTGGAAATACTTCCGGGTAAGCCATATGCGTAGGTGATTTGATTATATAGGCTCCATCGTGCCTCACAATGAACAGGTATCAAAACTTGCTTTGTGGTACACGAATTCTCAAGCTCCCTAGAGTATTAGGAGCAAAATCTTAAACGTCTTTCATACCTCTGTATACGCCAGTTTATGATATGCAAATTCTGTGTAAGTGTTCATGGGACTTACACGACTTTTCAAAAAGCTGGATTGTCAAAACCAACCAAACAAAAATCACTGTAATTTAAGATGAATACTCCTAGTATACGCATATAGTCTTTCCACTTCACACACAATAAAACTAACATTACCCACAGAACAGTAACTCTCATTTCTATTGCTGCAGGTGGTGAGCATTTACCAACCCATCCCACATTCCAAACCACTGGTTAATGACCTTATCAGTATTTTTGGTTATAGCTAGGGATGGGAAGAGAGCAACGTGTTCAACACCCAAAGTAACTGCTTTACGAAATACATGAGGTGATCTTACTATACAACTACCTGCTCTCCAGTAAGAAAATTAAGATTGAGGAAAAGCTTGTATTTTTCTTTATATAATTTTCTGAAACTCTTCACCTATAAATACATCATATTTTGTTAGAGATAATTTTGCTAATCTGCAAAGGGTTTTGTTCCGATAAAAATACATTCCTACGCAAAATTTGAGAACTTCCAAGTTAATTCCTACATAATCATTTCAATTCTGCAGTTCTACTTTGATACCTCAATTTCATTTAAGAAAACTACCTCCTCCCGTGAAGATTAAATGAGATTGTTCCTTTGAATGCATGTTTTGGATGAAATTGCACGAGGGAACCCCCAATTCCTTTGCAGACTCTGTCTGCTCATTAACCACCCTGGGTCCATCTGAATAGAAAGACAACCCCAGTTCCCTTTTAGGGGCCATGCTTCTAAGGAGGTCATGTTAGGGCTCAAAAATGGTACCCCAAAGTGAAAAGTCTCAGAAGCAATTTTCTCCTGGATCTTCTTTTCCCATCCTGTGTCTTACCCTCCATTTTCCTAGATAAACCCTAGAAACTAGAAACTAAAAGCAGTTCATAGACATAGGAACTCCTTTTCCCTAGAGCAGCCATAAAACCTCTACCTCTTACTCTAATCTCCCCATCTTTCTGGGGAAGAGTCGGCCATTCAGAAATGGTTTGATCTACCTTGCCTGATTGTAGGTCAAAAGGCCCTCATTCCAGAAAGCTCCTGCCCTATGTCCAGAGGGAAGGAGTGTTACACAGAGAAGCGGAGAGGAATCTGGACAGACAGGTCTTGTTGGGTTTCCTCAGCTACAACCACTAGGTCAGACCCTTTTTGTCCAATCACATTTCTGTGTGGCTGTCCATGCTTCAGAGAATCTAAGCATAAACACGGGCAATTTACCCTGGGTGGGTCTTTGGATCTTCAATTTGAAGGCTACCGTGTCATGTAGAACTATGATTAAATCAATTTGTTAGGCTTTTTTTTCTTGTTAACCTACTACAGTAGAGTTAGTCATGGCGCTGTAGGACCAGGGGGAAGGGGACCAGCCCCCTCTTCCGCCCCACAGTAGTACCATCACCACTGGTTACTTCCATGGTTTCCCAAGTGCCTGTATGGAGGGAACGGTGACAGAAGGCTTGCAGGCAGAGTGAGAGACAGGCTAGAAATCTGTGCCGGTAAGTTTTGTGCCTAAGGACCAAAGCCAACCTCCAGGGCAGGCAAAGGTGGCCCAGAGGATAGCAGGAAACAGAGCTTATATCCTGGGGCACCGATGGCTGGACAAGATTCCTGTGATCCCTTCTTGCATTAAAAGCGTCTGGCTCTAAGTAGCTAAGATAAGAGAGTTACTTCCAGTTTTATAATGGTACATTAAGTTACTGGCAAATGACTGACACCTGCTTCTGCAGTTCTTAGGGAAACGCTTTGGACGATGCGCTGCTGTAGTTATGAAATGGTATGCACTGGCGTATGAGTTCCCACGGGCCTATGCATTTCTTCTCACCAGCTTCTTCTCCAGAGTCATCATACTGGGACCAGAGGCCCAGTATGTCACTACCACCAGCCGGGTTTTCCTGAATACCTGTGTATATGTTGAGGTGGGTTTTGGTATCCCTCACAAAACTAAAAAAATCATTACTCTCAACTCACACGATTGAGGAATACCAGTCCATCTGTTCAAGGTATTTGCCAGAAAACCCTTTTCACATTGCTTTCTTTATTCATGACACTGACGCTCTGGGGATAGCTCCTCCAGGTCTTCCTGTACCCTCCAAGCCAGGAAGCAATTACGACACTCAAAGCTAGTGTGAAAGGATAACATTAAAAATAGCAATTATTCGTAGCCACTTCACACCGCATTTCCTTTCTGTTCCCAGACCTCCCCTCTCTTCTGTGCCACTTCTAATCCCCTAGTAATGTTTACCACAGCAACGCAAACAACAACAACCCCAAAACAGAAAAAGCTGGGGAGATGTTTGCTGATACAGGATGATAACAGGTATGTTAAAGGTTCTCTACCTGTTTTAGCCAACAAACTAACCTACTTCAAAAATAGTGATGGAGCCTTAGGCTGCTCTTTCTCTTCTTACTTACTTAATCCTTAGCGCCTGTTCTTTTGCCTTGAGTGGGGAAACAGTGTCGCAAGAACACAGCTACGCAACTGGGAGAAATACTGTGAGTTCTGCAGTGTAGACTTTGCAGTGTAGAATGAACTAGACGTAGACCGTGTGCACTTGGCAAGACTAGTCAAATGTATAGTTGACCCCGTAAGCCGGAGCTAATTCCCATGAACAAAGTAACCACGGAGCCAGTCAGAACTCTGAGGCACATTTTGTGCAGGCCCTCCCCTGCCGCAGGGCACTGACAGGAGAGTCCAGCTGAATGCTGGGCCAGAAGGGACTTCCTAATATTTTAGGGGAGGAAAATTTGACTTTGGTCTCTTAAGGTTCCATTAGCAAAACTAATTATACAGCCCGGCTTTTTCCTGGTAGTGCTGGGGATTAACTCCAGGCTTGTGCACAGTAAGCACACACTCCAGCACCGAGCTGAACCTGCAGCATCTGTGCGGCCCTGCTTGATCCCTGACTTACGGCTTACGACACAGAACATGAGCCTGAGGAAGGAAGAACTTCCGCTCATAAACCTTGCTGGCTATGTCCTACCTCAGTTAATGCCCACTGAAAATGCCATGAAAGTAAAAGTGGTAAAGAAATTTGGTAGAGCCAAAGCCCACTG